TCACAATCCCAACAAAAATACATACAATCATTTTCAAGGTATTAATGAGTTTGTATTTGGCACACGACATAATACTGATAGCTTAATGATCTACTATCATTTCTATTCGGATCGTGATTTGATACTTTTGATAAAGAAATAAACCAATCTTAAAAATGTCAAAATATATTTTCTAGATCTCTTTAAAGTTTATATAAAAGTTACTTTGAGATTTGGACTAAGATGTGGAAGTCTTTCTTACCTTATCTGGAAAATAAAATTGAAAATGATTAAATTGTGGTACTAAATGGAATTTAACCATTGTAAAATGTTTACGTTAAATATATAATTTTAATCAGTAGCAAATCTTTTGATAAAACTACTTACAGTTTTCATTATATTCGAAAAAAAAAATTTGAAATACTTTTTTGAACGAAATTGAAATAAATTAATTCTAAATATATTTTTTCAATCGAAGCAAAATTTTCAAAATCCAAATATATTTTTTAAATCAAATTAAAATAAAGATATTAGCAAAACATTTTTTAAATACAATTAAAATTTTCAAAAATGATAGAATTTCATCAACTAAAATAAATATATAACATAATATTTCATTTTCAGAATTTTTTTGAAACAATTTCAATGTAAATGAAATTTAAATAGAAGTTTACATTACAGTCAGAAATGAAGATATTGAACGTTAAAGTGATATAGAATGACATGGCACATCCAGCTGGGTAAGCTGATCGGTATGTAAACTGCAGGTCTAGAGATCAATAATCTATGTGTTCATTTCATTTATATTCTATTTACAAAATCCTGTAAAGATCCTGCCAAGAAACCTAATCACATTCTGGAACAAATCTTGATAAATCTTGACAAGATCCGGTCAGAAAATATGATTCTATACTAGCTGGAATCTACCAAGATTCTGAAATATATAAACAAAATTTTTTCATTAGGAATCATCCAAATCCTGGCAAGATCCTTCTGAGATCTTGTTTGAATCCTGCACAAATCATAAATGTTTCACGGTTACATGTTTCTTTTAGGATTTCACGTTTCCTGGCTCGATTCTTGATCTTAAATCTAGTTGTAATCTGTTCAGAATCTTACTTAAATCCTGTTCTTAATCCTGCCAGGATCTTGAGATTTCACGGCTACACGTTTCCTCCAGGATTTCATAGTTTCCTGAGGAAAAAACAGTGAATCCTTGCAGGATCCTTGACGGATTTGTGAAGGATCTGGAAAAGAAACATCAAAGATTTTCCCTAGAGTTATACAGTATGGAATTTTCTGATGGAAATTGGATGATTCTGTAGCAAACTCACGATTATCAATCGATTATTGATTTCGATTTTCTGTAGATTAATTCGATTTCAATCATAAAATTTCATACTAAATAATTAACAATATCAAATAATAACTTAGTTGTGATCAAAAATAATCAAGATTATCAATCGATTATAATTTTAATTTTGTTGCAGGAAAGTTTGATTAAAATCACGAAAATTTTTCAGTGGGTTATTTTGTTGAGAGTCATTTTCACTAATATTTTCTCCTTTGCATCAAATTTTTTTATTGATAGGACTTTTTTCTTATGCACATTAAATGGACAATGTGTTCTTAGGAAGATAAACTAATGCAAAATCTGAGACGTTACATACTATTAACTGGTGTGCATTCATGCAGTAATAGACGAAGAGAAATAATATTTTACTTTAAAGATTATTAACGGTGTTTTGGGGATCATAACATATGGAACGAAAATCAACTGTTTTTGCTTGCCTAGAATGCGATATATATTTTTCTTCCAGCACATTCGATCACAACGAACAGCGTATGTTTCATTCATTCATGAAGAAAAGAAAAATTTCTGTGCACACTAAATGCCTGATCTATGTGTATGTAATTACAAAAGACATGATGCGAAATCATAAATATTTAAACACTCAACACCGACAAATTAATCTTCATACATTCAACCAGCATTCAAAATCAATATCACAAACATGGTCTGTATGATTAAACCAACTTTTTTTGTAGTTTTTCTTGTTGTAATGGTCGCTATATCTATGGGATGGAACAACGATCAAAGTGACGAAGAAACCATAGGCATCGCCAAGGAAACATTTCATCTTCGCAAGTTAATAGAGCAGACATTTGATAAACGTGATTGTGCCCCTCTGAATCATCGTTGTACTGAAAATTCTGATTGTTGTAATGCTGGTTCTCGTCGGCATACTTTTTCTCGTTATCGTATTGGTTGTAACTATCTTTATGGTGTTCGTTTTTGTCTGTATGGCAAGAAATCATAGAATAAGTAAGCCCATGTTGTTTCTTTGAAGTATTTCTGTGATAACTTTAAAATTGAATATTGTGAGTTTTTTCTCTCATGAACTAGCGAGAACTTGTGCATATTGCACGGCTGCCTTTTTTCTACGGAGTATCACATCCATATTTTATCCTTCACTGGATAATATACCATTAGATACTTGGCCCTATATCTAGAGATAGAGCCTTTACTTTTATATCCTTCTAGCTGGCTATACTCTTATGGCCTTGTTTCCTTCTAGGCCTCTTTCCTTGTGCCCTCATATGTCTATATGCCCATCTTCTTACCCCTTATAGTCTTATATTCTTGTACGTTTATCTTCTTTACTTTTTATCTTCCTATAATCCTGTAGCCCTATCCCTTTTACTCTTTTAACCTTATTCGTTTAAGGCTTTACGCCACTTGGCCTTATCCCTCTACTTCCTTATACTCTGGTAGACCTAATCCCTGTTTCCTACACTATTGTCCATAGTTCTACACTGTAAGAAAAAAGAATTATTACGAAACTCCTACCGGCTCTCAGATCCTTTAAGGTTTTCCTGTCGACTTACTGAACCTGAAAAGGATAAGACAACCATTTGGTGAACAATTTTAGGTTTTGTAAATCGGTACAAAACTTTGAAGGATCTGAGGGCTGGCACTGATTTCGTAATAAGCCTATCTTTTACAATGTATGCTCTATTCACTGAAAAAAAAGGTACTCTACGAAACCTAAAAGGGCTCAGATTTTTGTACGGAAATCGAAAACTTTCTGTGGTGTCGTACGGAACTTTCGAAGTTCTATAAAATCTCGCGAAATATTCTTCAGGGTTCACAAAAGCTTCAAGCACTTTTTGAAATTTTAGAGAACTTCGAAAGTTCCACGTGACATCGCAGACAGGGTTCAGATTTTTGTAAGGAAATCAAAACCTTTTAGGTTTCGTACAGTACCTTTTTTTCGTCAGTATCCAGTTTCTCTGTCACAGTCTGTGATAGAGTCTAGGTTTCTTTGTAACGGACTGTGGAGGGAAAGGGGCTCCAAATATGTTCCTTTATACATTTCAATACGCCGTTCAGTTCGTGTTTCAGATAGATATTCTCCAGACATTGATATAGAGTGTGGGTGTACCGGCAGGTAGTTAAGAAAGAGACCAAGAGGCACAGACACAGGCATAGCCACATTCCACCAACACCTGCACACCCACCTACACCCTCACACTCCCACACCCTCACTCGAATTCAAAATTTATATTTTGCTTTTTTTATTAGAATTTTTTTCTTTAAAAGATTTGGTTCAACATCAACGACAATGGCGCCAACATTTCGACAAATTCAATATTCATGAATTCTATCATCACTTAAAGCTTTATTTTAATCTTATTATTATTTTTTTTGCTTACATCATGACCAAGAAAATAAATAGATTTTGAATTGTGAAAATGATTAGAATTTTGATATTCCTTTGTAATCTATTCAATGGTGTATGTGTTGTTGTGTGGGTGCTGCAGTACCTCGGATCCAAGAATCGGAAATTCCAGGAAATTTTAGAAATTCACATAGAACTTAAACTTTCTATCATACACTTGCGAGCAACACGCAATTCGAGGAAATTAACACATTCAAGCAATTTAGGCATTTCAAGGAAATTTATGGAAAATCAAGGAATTCAGAGTGACGTACAACTTTAAGGCATACCCCCTTCTAAATATCATGGAATTCAAGGCTGGTCGTGGGTGTGGGTGTGGAGTGACAGTGTGTGGGGGTCAGTATGCGACTGTCTGCGTAGGTGTCGAGTGTGGGTGTCGGTGCTGGTATATGAATGTAGGTCGTAGGGTAGATGTTAGTGTGTGAATGTGGATGGATTGTGGGTATGGCTGTGCGAATATGGATGGGTGTGGGTACTAATGTAAGCGTCAGTCACAGTGTGCGCGTAGTGCAGATATGCTATGTGTGTGTAGACATACGTGTAGGTGTGTGGGTGGCGGTGTGAATCTGGGCCAGAGTATCGGTATGAGTATTGGTGCGTAGATGTAGATCTGGCAATAGCTGCCAGCGTAGATGTAAGTCACAGTGTGAGTGTAGGTAGCAGTATGAATGTGCGTCAGAGTTTACATGTAATAGTCGTTGCCAATGTAGGTATCAGTCACAGTGCGACTGTCGACAAGAGCATTGATACCGTAGAGTTCCCAGTCTAGCTGCAGGCGCAAGTGACAACCCCTACTCGAGCAGAGATGTAACCGTGGATATCGCAATGTGGATCTTAGTGCCAAAATGTACTTTTGGTTACCAATAAGCAGGGTTTCGGCAAAGGGTGATGCTCTATAGGTTCCTCTGGAAGCCGCTGTCGATAAAACTTTTTGCGAAAAAGCAATACCCTCAATATCCAAAAGCTTTCCCATTCCCGTCCCCAAGAAACGGTACCCGAACTACACTTACAAACGTCTACTCTTCTGTTCTTCATCTTCCGGTCAAACTATCTCCAAATACACCATCACTCTCTTCGATTAACTCATTTTTTAATACTTCTTTGAAACTCCGCCCTTGCACATCACACCACTAATAACATAAGCTATGCTAGGCCTATCACGATGCATCCAATCGATTTTCGAAACTCATCTGATGTTCATAAAGCACTACTATACATATCTTGTATCCGGTAATCACACCCCCACCGTCAAATGCACACTAACTTCCTTACGACCAACGGCACCAGAACACACCCGATTCAATTCACTCTCACCGCTTATATTATATTTCAAATTTAGATTGTATTGCAATACCACAATCTTCAATGAAACCCTCATCGACTATCCGCTACAAATCACTTCTCAAATTTCAACAGTCTTCAGCTTCCTCAACTACTTCATTTTCTAAACTTTCTACCAAAACTACCTGTTAGCTCTCATATGTATAGAACGAAAGAGACAAGCAGTGTCACTGATGTTATGTGACAGAACGATGAAAAAGATGACCTTCATGGGAATCGAACCCATACCTCCTGCTGTCCGGGCAGTTGTCCGAAGCCAATTAGACTAGAAGGCGCATCTAATTCATCGTTTAGCGTTCGTGTGATTCATCACAAACGCTAACACTAGCTCCTTCATGACTTGCCTTATACATCATTTTCCATCTATTGAGCGAAATGCACCTTCTAGACATCCCTCCTGGAAAAATATCGTTTTCACCAAATTTCTTCCTTTTGACTCACTCGATTCTCAACTACACGACTTAGCCTTCAAACAGCCTTACTATCTGTTACTGCTTGAACTATCTTAAGTTCCTTTATCTGATTCATTTTCCGAAAATTCCATGAGTTTCCTTAACTCCATGGTTGATCAGACCCTTCTTCCTCAGTAGTCCTATCTCACTTAAATTTTCTCAATACAGTTTAACTGCCTTGAGTTGCTTGATTTCCCTCAATTTCTCACATTTCCTTGCATTTCCATCATTCCATCGTGGGGCAGATTCATTATGCCTTAGTATTTGTCCCTGTTTTGGAATCCTTCAATTTCTTTTTATTCACCTCAGTTCATTGATTTCCTTGGTTTTCCCCCAATTTGCTTTAATGTCCATGATTTCATGATGGATCACACCCCATATCTCTTACTATTTCGATGTCTTTTGAATTCCTTGAATACCCTTGAATTGCTCTGAGCAGCTTGATTTGCTTGAATTTCCCTAATTTTCTCGATTTCCGATAATTATATGTTGCCTTATAAGTGCTATTGCTGTGAGAGTATTTGTAGCGAGAATTAGTTGAGTTGCTGGAATTTCCAACTGTGAGATTCTACGGTTACCTCTGTGGGAGTGGGTTTGTGGCTAGTGGTGTGAGTGTGATTCTCTTTGTTATACAACCACACCCTCACCCACACCCACACCCCAAAATATGTTTTTTCCCATACAAACTACTGAGTCCCTTGAAGGAGAAGCAAGTTTACGCCGCTCGATAGATGTATCCAACTTTAATTAGGCTTTTCTCCGACTAAACTTCAAAAACCGAGTGATTGTGTTTAAAAGAACAAACCTATTTTTTTTCTTCAATTCTTTTTAATTTTATCTATCTTTTACTTTTATTTTTTCATAGTTCGTGTTCTAAAATATCAATAGCACAAAAACTTCACTGAAAATGTTCTATATTTTTTTGCTATGGTTACAGTAAACTCAAATAATCGAGTAAAGCTATGTAAGAAAAAACAAAATTTTTTTTTCGCACCTACTTTTTTTCTAGAAATTCAATTTTTGTAATTACATCTGAGAAATTTATTATTAAGAATACAATATCTTTTACCGTAAAATGATTTGCATATTTTTTCGATTTTAAGAAACTTTTTCATTCTGTGAGAAACATAAAACCAATATCTATGCAGGTATGTTACCAACAATTGTATCCAATGAGTTTTGTTTTCATTGTTTCAGAAACAATGAAAAATAAACTCATTGGATACAATTGTTGGTAACATACCTGCATAGATATTGGTTTCATATTTTTAACAGAATGAAAAAGTTCCATAAAATCGAACAAACGTACAAGTAATTTTACCGTAAAAAATACTGTATTTTTAAAAATCTTAGATATAATTAGAACAATTGAAGTTTTAGAAAAAAAAAGTAGCTTGAAAACAAAATTTTGTTTTTTTCTTCCATAGCTTTACTCCGTTAGTTGTGCTTACGGTAACCATAGCGGAAAAAAAGAGAATATTTTTAGTGAAATTTTTGCCTTACTAACAGTATACCTTCTTTTTTATTGTCTGCTACCTTCTTTAGATTCTTATTTCTATCAATTATAGAAAGTGCTAAAACTTACTCCATATTAGAAGTATAAAAAGTAAAACATTTAACAGCTTTTATGTTTTTTTCGGAGGGATAAAAAAATATTTTATGCCAGAAGTTATTAAAGCAGTAACGAATGGAATAATAAATGGTTTGAAGAGGTGCTTCATTTATGGGTATGGGTGTGATTGCTCACGCTTTCGACACCCATACCCTTCCTGATTTTGACATGAAGGCCTCTGCAACCTCTGATATACACTAACACCTTTGACGCCTCTAATTTTCCAAATTTATTTATCAATATTAAAATTTGCAAAGACAGTGCCGTATGTTTACTTTTACCCGTCACTCTTTTGAACATGCTAGTGTTAAAAATCATTCAAGTCAGTATGAAACTATTAGGTTGGTACATTATTTCTGCATGTTTTTTTGTGTTTTTTCGACGAATTTGAGGCTTTAAATCTCATGCTTGAAAAGTGATAGAGGTCTGAAATTTCAAGGGCACAAGCATCTCTTTGAGTTCTATCTACATTCAAAACTACAGACCTCTATCTCTTTTCAATCATGAAATATATAGCCTCACATTTGCCGAAAAAACAAAAAACGTACAGGACTTAACTGAAGCTAAATAGGGTGTGAGTGGGTGTCATGCGTAGGACCGAAGTAAGTGTTAGTGAACTGCATGGGACTCCAAAACCCGATTCCAAGAGAGCCGAGATCGGAATTACAAAATCAAAATTTTACGGAATCACAGTCGAAGTTGGAAGACTTTTCAAATCTTTGTCAAAACGTTTTTTAGTCATTGCTTCTGTGATTTCTGAAAACTTATTGCTAAATTATGCAAACAAATTCCCGGAGGTTTTTGGATTTTGAGTCGAAAAATTTTTGTATATGAAGTCGAAGTCAAAAACCTGTTTTCGGTGTCTGAGCCGATGCTGCAGTTTGAAAACCTTCGAAGTTGAAGTCGAATTTCGAGATCACAAGATTTGACTTCGCCGTTCAGTAGTGGGTGTTGGTGTAGGTGTGGGGCTGGTATTATGTAGCGTAGGATATAGAAAATGATAGACTTCAAGCTTCATGAGATTTCAAAACGCTTCACGAAACTTCAAGCACAGAGACTTGAAGTTTTCAAAATACGTCATGAAACTTCATGAGATAGAAGTCTCTGCTATTTCTCCTCAGGTATGGGTATGGTTGAAGAAGAGATCAATACTTACGCCCGTTCACACCCTTTTAAGTGGTATTCTTTTTGCGTGCTTAAAGTGCCAGTGCTGAACGTTCCCGTGCTAATCGTTCACCAATTCCTCACAAGATGTTCTTATCAAGTAGTCGAGCAAGGCCATTATAACTTTTCAGAGCGTCAAATTTTTGACATTAGTGGAAATTGGAGACATTACTTGATTAAATTGAAGAAATTCATTTTATTTGATATGCCTACTTAAAGAATTGAGCGAGTGACAGGAAGTGAAAGAAAGAAGAAACGAATACTTCACTTGTTGTTCCGTTCTCGGTGATTTAAACAAAAAAAGAAAATCGTCATTTTTCTTTTAGAAATGGCTCCTGTAACCACAACCTCACCTAACTTGTGGAAACGAGTAATCGATTACATCGGTAAACTTAATATCTACAAAGATAACGACTCACTCTCTCTTATCCAACAAATCTTGACCACACGATTCTATATGGGTCTCATGACTCTTTGTGTGCTCATTCTTATAATTTTTACTGGATTCAGTGCACAGACTCGCATTGTATCAACCTCGTCACCATCAATAACAACTTTTGAACCACTTTCCATCGACTTTCCATCCACACTTTCGTGTCCCTGCTCACAAATCTCAATACCATACTATCGATTCCTTGCATTTAATCCTGAATATCATCAGGTGTGCTCAAGTAAATTTATCACTCATGAATGGATTTCATCTTTGTTCAGCGTGACAATGAGTGACAATTATCCACTTGATTTTCGTTCAATTGCTTCATCACAATTCCAAATACTTGCCTTGCTTTGTCGCACTGCTAATGCAACTGTTCTCGATGCTATCAAACAGTTTGTTTCATCAGAAATGATCTCAAATAACATATTGTTTCGTGCTAATTTTGAAGTTAAAATAGCAGCACTGGTAGAACAGCTACAAGCGACAACAAGTGCCGATGTCAGTCGCACTAATCAATTATTGTTGTTGAGTATAGCTCAAAATTTTATACTTTGTGCTCTTCGAACCAACTTCTATAAGAGAAACGTACCTGGATTCAGTACTATTTCTACTTACGCTGTAAGCTACACAAACAACGTCAATGAACATAATATTGCATCCGTGTCAAACAACCCAAATGATATTTGCGATTGCTTGAATAGTTTCTATTGCAAATTTCCGTCGGGTTTTTTCAACCGGTCCGATATAGGATCAATAGTACCCGGCCAGATCTTAGGGCCATATCCGCCTCCTTGGTTTTCCGTTAGTGGCATGCAAGTTGGCTGTATTCCGCAAGCGGCGTTGCTCTCATTGACACTCGAATGTTTCTTCAATCAAACATGTCTCACTCTTGTTGCATCTTCTGCGAATGTTCTTGTCGAAGTAACTCCACTCAATGCATCAACCGGTTTTTCCAATTACAATAGCAATACTTTGATCAGCGATATATTCGATAAAATAATGCTCGAATCATTGCACAAGTCGACTGATTTTCAAGGCTATTTTGAATCTTGTGCACCAAAATTTTGCACTTATTCCTATCCACAACGATTCAGTCTTCCCTACATTATGACAACTCTTATTAGCATTACTGGTGGACTAAATATTGTAGTACGCATTCTTTCGTCATGGATCGTTAAGTTTCTAATTAGAAAGAAACAGTTAATAGTCGCCAAAGAAATCGATGAATCGAATTCAGATATTAATCTAAATAAGCAAAGTAAGTTTGTCTCACTAATATTCAATCAATAATTTCTCTTCTTATTGTATAGGTATAAAAATGCGCGTTAATAAACTCTTCGTTGAAGCTCGAAATTCATTGATAACACTCAATTTGTTTAAAAAGACACTGGTAGATATTCGCCATGGAATTTATTCAACTCGTATCTATATCATTTTGCTAACTGCAGGTGCCATTATTATGACTGTTTATTCGACAATAGTTCGAACTTCAACAAGTATCATCGTGCAGAATCCAACACTGCTGCAGTTCGAGAAGCTTTATCAACAATATCCGTCAACATTATCATGTCCATGTCAAAATCTCTCGGTGATGCATTCAAGTATCATGACCATTTGGCCTCGTTACCATCAAGTATGTTCGAGTAAATTTGTTCAAAACGATGGTTGGCTCAAATATTGGCCTATGATTTTGATTGAGCCAAATAACACGAATAGTCGAGATTTTCCGTCAAACGACTTTCGTGTGACTGGTCAGGCGTTTTTTCAACAACTTCAAACATTTTGTGCTTTGGCTACTGAGATATTAGCAAATGCAGTGGAAACATTCAACCGAACAAACTTTGTGAGCGCAAAACCACTAGCGAAAGCTGATTTCAATTCACAAGCATTGGCTATATTCACACAATTTAAACAACAGGTCAGTGTTTAGAAATTGCAGTGCGTTTTCTCATCACAATAGAGAATAATCGAACACACCTCGATTGCCCGGAATCGATCTTTAATATTATTACCAATGCAATGCAGTCACGTCCGTTCGCGACGAAGCACGTGAAGTGACACAATTATCCCCAGAGATGTTAGCTTTCTCATCTCTGTGAAAATACATAGAGATTATATTAAATTAATCAAATAAGAGCTTCGTTTTCTAATAGTCTAACTTTTTTATTATGACAGGTTGAGACGATGAAGGGGATAATGGTGCTGTGCATAGATCGTTTCTTAAATAGTTTAAAATGAAATCATAAACTCGCTAGCAGCAGACAACATCTCTGCCATTTCAATAGCTAATTTCTGACATGTACGTTTTGCATGATTTTCTTGGTTTTTATCAACAACAATAGCATGTAAATTATAAATTTCACCATAACTTGTAGCACCCAACANAATAGTGATACTTTGCAAAGGTTCCCACTAACCTTGTCCGTATGGATTTGAAATGTGAACATGCCTCTATCCTTGGTAAAAAAATGAGCCCGTTTGGTCGAGTTGTAATGAAGATATTCAACTTTTTCTTTGTGAAGTTACTTACTGGACACCCTATATATACGCAAACCGAATGAATAACTAGTGGATTCAACAAAATCAATTTACATCTATCAGATGTGGGCGAGTCATTTTCTTCTCCACAATTATACACCCATACTAACTTCGTTCAAATGGTATTATAAACTACCCAAATAAAATCAAGCAAACTTGGTAGATATCCATCGAAAATATTTCTTTCGTTCAACATACTTCATTATGAATTTAGTTTTCAATATGGAATCGATTGATGAGGAACAAAAGCTAAGAGTATAAGATTAATTACTACGAGGAACATAATTATAATAAAATATACAATGAAAGAGTGACGAAACAGATAATATTTCAAGTCTAATTAAGATGAAAGTACAATACACTTACGTGCGGGGTAATACTGAAGCGTTTGAATATTGTTTTGTATGATTGTAACTAATTTCGTTCTTTATTTACGATTGATGGAATTACTTGTTTTTTTTTCTCACTTGAGCACACACACATACATAAGGCAATACATCAACAAAGCGTAACATTTCCACCAAATAGATAGACTTTAGAACTAACATGCACAGCCTCGCATTTTCTTCTTTTTTAAATTGTTTGCTTTTTTTCTCTTCTCTTCCTTTGCGTTCTACACTTTTGTAATGATAAAATATACACTAGTGTCTGCATATAAATATACATTTTGCATGAATATCAAAATTTTTGTCATGTATGAATAATGTAGCGGTCTTTTTTTGCTCAATTATGAAGAATTTTGGCATAAATATTCTTGAATGAAAAGTATTGAAATAAATTAATAATGAATAATATGAGTTCAATGATCGTTTTTTGTTAAATGGGTTTCAAAAATTTGTGAATATTCTGCAGTAACCTTCAGCCCATTATCAACACCAATTTATAAGTACAGGATACAAAAAGTTTTTAGTAATATTTACAGTTATTATATTACTTGGTACTTTTCGTTATTTTTCTCTTTAACAATTCAATGTAAGATCAAGATTTTTGTTTCTTATGACACTGAAATTTAAAAGAAAGTAATATTAAACTTAGATTCTGAAAACTAAAACTATTAAACTAAGTTGAATTTTATGTTATTTGTGGTTCAAACAAAGTCGTACTATTTCAGATTTTATCAATTGAATTCGAAAGTACGCAATTAATTTAAAACATAAACCACATAAATCTTCTTGTCTGTTCAAATTATTATTACGCTTAGAAAGATTTAGAGTTCACTTGTATCTTCTATAGAAAATAGCATAAACTTTGCAAGATGTAAGGTCCACCAGTCTCCTTCTTTGGAAATAGTCATTAAGTTAAGGAAGATATGGAGTTAGATGATCGTTATTCAATCCTGATGATCGTAACATATCTGTACGATAGAGTTGTGTTTTAACACACTAAGTGACAATCTTCTGTTTATTAGACTGATGAATTCATGAGTTGTTGATTACTTTCTAGTTGCTGGTATAATTGTTTGTCTTTTTTTTATTGTTATAATTAAGAAAATTTGTTGAAATGATCCTCTGCGAGTACATTTTAAAATATTTAGTATGAATTTGGTGAAAGAAGTAGCAGAGAGAAAAACAGTCAGAAACCTTGAAATAAATGCCATAAATAGGTATATGTTTTGACAATAAGTTATTGTCTTTAATAAAGAGAATAATAATGATATAGTATCAAGAGTTTTGTCTTATTAATATATTTATTAATCGGGTAAATATAGAATATTAAGTTTTAAGTTTCTTTACTATGAGGTTTAGTTTCTGACTTCTGGCCGAACAAAAAAGCGGAAAATGATAATAAAATATGAAAATCTAATCATTAATCGTATGGTTCGAGAATGGCTTTACGTGTTTTGAATATAACAGTATTAAAAATTGAGTATCGATTTGTGTGTTGCCACTATTTGTATGGACGATCATTTACACTTCACTCGTAATTTTTAGAAACAGAAAATTATCAAAAAAGTAACGTTTTACAGTGTGAAGTAAATCAAGCTCATACAAAATACTGATTTTCACGCATTTATTGGTCATCAAATTATTTTCCGGTTTCTCACCGACCAAAAGTAAATATTTTTGAGAAAATCTATAAAAATAAAAAACAAAAACGCTTGTGTTTTTTTATTGGTGCTTCCATACATGATTAATTATATTTCAGAATTAATATAGAAAAAAATCAGAATTTTTTTTTTGTGTAACGCTTTCTTTATTTCACTATGTTATGACGGATTCGTCAATTGACGCTGACCGTTTCCTCATAAATAAGGCTTCTAGAACTTACAAATTAACACTAAAGGCAACGATGGTATAAGTAGTTGCTTAAAATGACAATCAAACAACAGTAGGGAATGACTTAGAAGTAGCTACATTCGCACAAAAAATCGAAAAAGTACGGAGGTCCTTATCAAGAAATGATGTTAACTTTTTATTTGGTCGACCGAGTGGCATATATGCAAGATGCGGTTTGATTCGGTAATGGTTGTATAGCATGGGTGTGGGTGTGGGTGGTGTGGGTGTGGGTGTGGGTGGGGTGTGGGGGTGGGTGTGAGTGTGGATGTGGGTGGGGTGTGGGTGCGGTATAACCATAGAAGACATGCACACCCACACCCACACCCATACCCACACCCCCGCCCACACCTACACTCACCCACATCCTCACACCCACACCCACCCACACACGCACCCCGCACCCCACCCACATCCACACTCCCACACCCGCATCCACGCACACCCTCAATAATTTTGTCTTCGTCATCTGAGTTTTTTTCGCATATTTTATCTAGGCAATCATCAAACGAAACTTTCCCTCGCATAAAATCACTGATGATGGAGCACAAAATTTTCTCAATGCTGTAGGACAAAGTCAATTTACAGTATATCTTGTTTTTTTTTCAATTTACCACTTTTTCATTTTTCATGCAAACACCTATTATTCTGTGCTTCAGAGACGAACAAATAAATGTCCATAATGAAGGGATGTTCTTTACCGAACGTCCTTGAAGGAAATCTAAAAATCTCTTCCTCATATTTCTTTTTTAAATGAATAAAGGCTTAAGAGACATTATTCACATAAAAATTCATTATAGAGGTGAATAGATGTGTAAATTATAAAGATTTTTACTTTGATAAAAAAAATTTGATTAAGATTTGTTTTAAGTCCAACATTAATTAAATAAAAAGATTTTTCTTTATAAAAACAATCGTTTACTTACTAATAATCCATATGATTGACAATGAGCCTTATTTACTAATGCATGTTGGCCACGCTCATGTGTAAAAAAAAGTGGCCATATTGATTTATATGTTGCTAAGAGCGGTCTCTTTTCTTTCATCTATCTTTCTCGATCATCTCTCTGATATAACTCTCGTGCTACTCATGAAATAGATCTTTTCAATGTATTACCAAAATCAATATATAGATTTAAAAGCATTTTATTTCTCAAAAAGGACTTGCATAAGTGCACAAGTAAATACCTGTAATAATTCATATACCATCATAAAAATGTCATAAGATCGAAAACCGGTGTAATATCTGATGTTGATATTATCATGTCGAAATCGTTCGAACCATATAGTTGTTTTAAATATTGTCTGCTTGTAAAGGGATATTTTATCAAATAAATCAGATAAATCATTAGAGTATAAACCAGTTTGAGTTGAAACAAAAATTAAACCACTAGTTGTTTGAGCAGATTTTACTATATTTATAGGTAAAGCATCACGTTTTAATCTTTTTAGTCTTTTTTGTGAAGTAATATTATTTTTTTGATTACTTGTATAGGTGATAAATGCAGATGAATCAAAATGATTGCTGTACACTCTTTGATGTGACACATTGTTCAGATCAAGTGGGCTGAGTAATTTCACCCATGTTTTCTGTAAGCTTTTGCCAGTTGGAAAGCGATGAAAAGTACAGTTATTAGATTTAGTCTCTTTTTCGAGACAAGCAACACATTTTTTGACCATTTTGTCAATGAAAATAACTGTTCAACTCTAAATGATATAATTTAAAAGAACATCTTAATTTCACTTATCAGAACAATATCGTAATCTCATTTCTCAGAATAGTGTTATTCATATCTAACATGGTATGCTAATTAACACCAATATCAATCCTCTATGTATAAACCAATTAGTGTTTAATATATATATCGCTCTTGTATCTTGTAATCTTGTTAAGAAAGAAGATAAATAGAATCAAAAAGAAAATACTCTTCTCGATCACTGTCTCACTTTCACATTTCTCATTTCGTATGAATATGTCGTCTTCATCATCACCAGATTTCGTTTCTATTATTGATTATAAAAGACCTTTCAATGTCGATTTAGGATCAATAACAGAGTATTTTTCATCAGTACTTGCTTCTGATGGAGCTCTCAACCGAGGTGCATTAAAAAGTGGCAGTCTATTATTTAAAGATCATTTCATTTATAATATCACTGTCGCTCGACAATATATCGAGAGAACAATATTAGCTAAATGCCGAGCTCAAATGAAAAAATCTATCACATATGAAGTCAGTACACTCAGACATATTTTCCACTATTTAAGTTTTTTTTGTTCAGATAAAACTGATAATAAATACCAATCGACCTTCTGATATATTAGAAGGATCTTGTCAATGTGTTGCAGGAAGTGGTGATCATGCAGCATGCAAACATGTAGCCGCATTATCCTTTGCGTTATTGGACTATGATAATAATAAACTCTATGAATCCTGCACACAGAGACTTCAGCAATGGCATAATCCAACTCGAAAATCTTCCAATCTAGTTGATCTATTAAATGTCAATCTTTTCTCCCTCAAACAAAACAAATCTGAAGAAACCCAACCAAAATACCTGCAGTTTCTTCAATCAGATGTTCATGTGCCGGAAGCAATAACAAGTCTACGTCAATTACTCGTGAAGTACAATCAACAATCAACTGCAGCTGCTTCGATTCTTTTACCTCAACCAGTTTCTATTCCTTTCATACCACTTCCTACACGTGTTGTTACAGAAGCTGCATTACCGCCATACCATAGCGCAAGATATATCAGAGAGATGATCGAGAAAGATAGATGAAAGAAAAGAGACCGCTCTTGGCAACATATATATCAATATGGCCACTTTTTACACATGAGCGTGGCCAACAGGCATTAGTGAATAAGGCTCATTATTATATTTATCAAGATAATTACAAATGTGTATACAAATTCTTAATTGATACTTGATGGGAAAAACATTGATCATTTTTTATTCAAAAATTTTCTACTAAAGAATATTAATCTATTTTTATTGAATTTAATTATTTTAATCGAAATATTAATCATTGATGATTTGATCTATTTTGATTATTAATATAATGTTCATCATTAAAATCTATTTTAAAATAAATAAAAATACTTGCATAATTAATATAAAATTTTACTAAAAAGACAAAAAAAAGCACATCCATTTAATTGATCAATAAATTAATAAGAATTGTTTTTATTAAAAATCACGAAATAATAATTTCCCACATGTTTCATTACGATCAAACTACGACGCAGTTACACCGTAACTGCGATCGCACTGTGATCCGTTATTGCGAAAAACTGCGACGTAGTTACGCGTAACTGCGTCACACTTGCTACAAGAGATAACATAGATGAGGTTTTCATTTTATTTATATTTTTATTCTGAGTTAAAAACAAAATTTTTAAACACAAAAAATAAAAAATTAAAGCTACAAAATTAAAAATTTACATAAAAAATTTAAAAAAATAAAATTCAAGTAAAATTTTAAAATTTTAAGAATTCAGAAAAATGAACGATAAATATCTAGAAAAGTAGAAAAAATAAAAATCCAGATGAATTTTAAAAAATTAGAAAAATCAGAAAAATATTAATAAAAAATTAAAAAGTTGGAAAAATTAAAAAAATATTACAAATTTAAATAATTAGAAAAATTGAAAAGATATTTAAAAACTAGAAAAACTGAAATCTAGAAAAATTTTTAAAAATTAAAAATTAATTTTCGGAATATATATTCTACTTTTTGTAGTAGAATGAGTTATGGAACCAAATTCTCATGGCCACTACTTTTTATACTGACTTTCTGTGGCTAAATTTTAGTGCTGGAGTGTGACCAATTACAAATAATTAGTACCCATTAATAATTGGCCAGGGTGTGGGTGTGGATGTGGGTGGGTGTAGGTATCGATGTTTAGGGTGTGAGTGTGGGTTTGGGTATCATCTGTTCTCGACACACACCCACACTCCGACATTTTTATTTTCTTTCTTTTCCCATCCATTTGAAGAATCATACTCTGTTATTTTAACAGACTATCATTACATTATTCGCTTATGTACAACTTTGATCGTTGACTGAAACATCAAAATAAATCTAAAAATGTCCTGACTTTTAACTAAATTCCTGATTTCGAGACGTAGGCAGCTGCGACCTCTGATATTTGCTAATAGCTTCGAAGCGTCTGCTTTTCCAAATTTATTTGTCTATGTTAAAATACGTAAAAGCAGTGCCCTATGGTTGTTCTCACACGGCACTCTTTTGAAAATTTCTAGTGTTAAATATGATTAAAGTCAGTATGAAACTACAAACAACGACTCACACCATGAGAAGACTATGAAAAATAATGAGAAACTACTCCGATATACGTAGATGTATCAATTTTTTGAATAGCAAAAAGTGTTTCTTAATTGTTATTGCAACTGACAAGGTGTTTTCACCGAGTAGTTGAGCAAGGCCATTCTAATTTTTCAGAGTGTCAAATTTCTGACACTAGCAGAAATCGTAGAGAGTACTTGATTAAATTGAAGAAATTCATTTTAAAGGATGTGCCTGCTTGAAGAATTGAACGAGTGACAGGAAGTGAAAGAGAGAAGAAAAGAATACTTGGCTTGTTGTTCCGTTTCCGGCAACTGAAACAAAAAAAACGACGCCGTCATTTTTCTTTCAGCAATGTCTACTGTAAACAACACCCCACCTATACTTTGGCAACGAATAATCGGTTACATTGGTAAGCTTAATTTCTACAAACATGACGACTCACTCTCTCTTATCCATCAAATCTTGGCCACGCGATTCTATATCGCTCTCATGGCTCTTTCCGTGTTCATTCTTCTCATTTTTACTGGATTCATTGCGCAGACTCGCATTGTAACAATCTCGTCACCGTCAATAACAACCTTCGAACAACTTTCCACCGACTATACATCCACACTCTCGTGTCCCTGCTCACAAATCTCAATTCCATACGATCGATTCCTTGCATTTAGTCCTGTATATCATCAAGTGTGCTCGAGTAAATTTGTCAGTAATGAATGGATTTCATCTCTGTTCAGTGTGACAATGAGTGACAACTATCCACTCGATTTTCGTTTAATTGCTTCATCACAATTCCAAGTGCTTGCCTTGCTTTGCCGTACTGCTAATACAACTGTTCTCGATGCTATCGAACAGTTTGTTTCATCAGAAATGATCTCAAGTAGAATATTATTTCGTGCTATTTTTGACGTTGAAATAGTAGCACTAGTAGAGCAACTGCAATCGACAACAAGTGCCGATGTCAGTCGCACTAATCAATTATTGTTGTTGAGTATGGCTCAAAATCTTATATTTTCTTCTCTTCGAACCAACTTCTATAGGAGAAACATACCGGGATCCAATACTTTTACTACTTACGCTGAGAGCTATTCGAACAAAGTCAATGAACATGATATTGCATCTGCACCAAACAACCCAAATGATACTTGCGATTGCGGGAGTAGATTCGATTGTAAATTTCCGTCTGGCTTCTTCAACTGGTCAGGTGTATGATCGATAGTACCCGGTAAGACCTTGTGGCCATATCCGCCTCCTTGGTTCTTCGTTAGCGGCATGCAAGCTGGCTGTATTCCACAAAGTTCGTTGCTATCATCGACACTCGAATGTTTCTTCAACCAAACGTGTCTCACTCTTGTGTCATCTTCTGTGAATGCTCTGGTCGGAGTTACTCCACTCAATGCGTCAACCAGTTTTTCCGATTACAATCCAAATACTTTGATCAGCGATATATTCGATAAGCTAATGCTCGAATCATTGCACAATACGACTGATTTTCAAGGCTATTTTGAAGCTTGTGCACCAAAATTTTGCACTTATTCTTATCCACAGCGATTCAGTGTCGCCTACATTATGACCACTCTTATTAGCATCACTGGTGGACTCAGCGTTGCAGTACGGATTCTTTCGTCATGGATCGTTAGGTTTCTATTTAAAAAAAAACAATCAATAGTCACCAAAGAAATCGATGAATCAAATTCAGAAACTAATCTAAACAAGCAAGGTAAGTCTGTTTTGCTATTATTCAATCAATTGTTTTTCTTCTTATTAAATAGGTATAAAAGTGCGCATTAATAAACTTTTCCTTGAAACCCGTAATTCATTGATAACACTCAATTTGTTTAAAAAGACACTGGTAGATATTCGTCATGGAATTTATTCGACTCGTGTCTATGTCATTTTGCTAGGCATAGGTGTTATTATTTTGACTGTTTATTCATCAATAGTTCGAAGCTCAACAAGTATCATTGTACAGAATCCAACACTGCTGCAGTTTGAGAAACTTTATCAGCAATACCCGTCAACATTGTCATGTCCATGTCAGCATCTTTCGGTGATGCATTCAAGTATCATGGCCATTTGGCCTCGATACCATCAAGTGTGTACGAGTACATTTGTTCAAAATGATGGTTGGCTCGAATATTGGCCTGTGAATTTGATTGATCCAAATGATACAAATAATCGAGCTTTTTCGTCAAACGACTTTCGTGTAACTGGTCAGGCGTTTTTTCAACAACTGCAAACATTTTGTAATTTGGCTACTGATATAGTGGCAAACGCAGTGGAAGTATTTAACCGGACAAACTTTATAAGTGCAAAACCACTAGCGCAAGCTGATTTCAATGCACAAACATCGGCTATATTCACACAATTCAAACAACAGGTCAGTGTTTAGAAATTGCAATGTCTTTTCTCATCACAAGAGAGAATAATCAGGCACATCCAGGTCTCCCGGAATCGATCTTTGAAATTGTCATGACTGCAGTTCAGTCACGTCCAACCGCGGCGAAGCACATAAAATGACACAATTCTTCCATTTTTCAATGGTATCTCATCGCCGGAGATGTTAGCCTTCTCATCTCTGTCAAAATGCATACAGATTATACTTAAATTAATACAACAAGAGCTTCGTTTTCTAGTCTTCTAACTTTTATTATGGCAGTTTGAGATGATCAAGGCCATAATGGTGCATTGCACAGAGCGTTTTCTGAAATATTATGAAATGAAAGCATATGAAAAGATCAAGATTAAAACATCTGTTGATGCAACAGCAGTATTCGGATTCCAAGTCGAACACTTTCTTGTTGCAACACGAGGTAGTTTATTAAATTTTGTGCAGTGTTCGTACCTGTATACTTTGATTAACACATACCATAGACCATCATTGAGCATGTTTTTTCGTTCTGTTCGACCTTACTATGCAGGACACACCACAGGTCAAATTTTCAACATTTTTATTTGCACAATAGATCGAGATTTCGGCCAAGACGTTCTGCTGTATATTTCGTTATGCACTCATGTCCAATGTGGCAAGGACGATATCTACGGTCACGTTTAGGCGCAGTCAGATGTTGTCTATCAGTTAGGCACTGATTCATTTCATTGTTATCCGTTTCACCTGGGAAAAATGGTTAATTAATAATCGGCAATCGACAATGAGGAAATTCGTAACTCTGGCGTTTCTATTGTTTTCATAAACATGCCATCAAACATTTTTCATATGAATCGAATACATCAAACACTCCTCAACAGAGTGGCTCAAAAATGACCTTGATTAGTTGGTTTGTGTCTGAGCACTTTTCATTTTATAAATAGCTTTATGAAATGAAGGTTGAAACACCTGAAGAAACGGTCGTCGTACTTTTTCAGAAAATCGTGACTGAAAACGGAGAGACAGCGACCGCAAATTCGTATTACAGCTAACCGATAGAGAATTTCAGGAGCTACTTTTTAGCCTACTTGCTTTGAACATAGCACTAACGTTGAAAATCATACTGATGAAATGCACTTTTTTCAGCTACATTTTTAAAAGTTTGAGGATGTGGGTTCTGTCTTGACTCACCCGCACCCATCTACCAACACTGTAGAATTTGGAAGATTTCTTGCGGAACTACCCCGCATTCAAGCCGGAACAAAAAAGTGGGAAAGCTTCTATTCTAAACATCCTTGGTCGACTAAATTTGAACTCATGTTAGTTCCTTATTGAAGCTGTTGCTAGTACCACAGTTTCTGAAACGATCCAGAAAGGAGAATCACTCGACATTACTGTACCACGACGCGAAGATTCATGCTCCTTTCATTCTACAGGTGACGGAGTCGTTTGCTTCCCTATTCGGCATTGTCTACAACACAATTCGCTTAAATCAGTTCCTTCTGGCTGTAGCAACCAATGCTGTACCAAAACCACAGATAATCAATGGCTCGTGGATGCTTCGTTACCAGTCGAAAGTGTATACAAATGGTAACAATAGTTGTTCATGTGGCACATCAAGTCTGTGTGCTAAGCCACAAGGATTCTACTGTTCTGGGGTTGGTTGCCGTACTAGTAATTCATTTCCGAACCTTACAATTCCTGGCCTTAATATTGGCTGCTTTCCAATTGATTCAGTTCTTTTGTCAACACTTGAATGTCTCTTTGATCAATCGTGTATTCAAATGTTGATCGATTGGCGTCTTTTTGACGTCGCTCAATATTATTCTACGGTCAACTTGACCAATATCACTGCACTCGACCTATCGATAAAAAGCCAATATCTTCCGAATACATCACTCGAAACCATCATTTCGCAACTGTTTGTCGAAAATTGGACGGAAACTGTCGACCATGCTGCTTATTATGCTCAGTGTCATCCAAATTCTTGTGTATACACATTTATAGAGCAACGTGGACCTATCGTCATCGTGACGAATGTCATTGGTCTATTAGGTGGACTCATAGTTATTCTTCGCATTCTCGTTCCACCGTCTGTCAAGGTTATTCAACTGATATATCGCAATTGTTGCGATCGTTGGGAAAGAAAAACTGGTGAGAATAGAATAATTTGAAATGTAAGAAAATATTGTTTGCAATTACAGATATTCCAACTCATCGCTCGTTTTGTCGATTTATTTCACGCACTCGACAAATTCTTGAGACTCTGAATGTCTATGCGACAGAATCTACCAGTGATTATCAGTTTTTAGCCAGTCGAATCTATGTCGTTCTACTCATGATAACAATAGCTATTATATCACTCTTCGTTGGACTAAGTCAACAGACACGTTCATTCACTGTTGACTCGCCTACTGAAGCTGAATTTGAATATCTTCATTCTCAATATCAAACTTCACTAAAATGTTCTTGTTCCCAAATTGCCATTACCTATGGAAAATTTCTCGATGTCTCGCCTCTGATGCATCAGGTATGTTCCAGTCAGTTTGTTTCGTACAATTGGTCAATATCTTTATTCAATATGGGCTCTACTTGGTCAGTACCTGATTGGCTACTACTTAGCACCCAGTTCCGTATACTATCATCATTGTGCAATCTCGCCAAGGACGCTATTGATCAATCAATGTACAATTTCATTTCAAGTGAATTGGTCAGTTCCGATACCCTTCCGTTCAGTTTATTTAAAGCGCAAGTCTATTCGGCTTTAGCGCTTTTAATCAAGCAAACTCCAACCAGGTTTCGTCGCACACTTTCCTTCATTACAGGTGCATATCAATCGAACCAACTCCAAGATCAATTCATGTCAAGTTGGCAAATGATTTATTCGACTTCGGAAGAATATTACGTATTTCGTACCGTTCCACTTTCATACAACAATAATACATGCACATGTGCTGCAGGCATGTCAACATGCTCGAGACCACTCAGCTTTTTGAATTCGACTAGCAATACAATCACTTTCCCAGGTAATTTAGTAAGATTAATTTCCTTTTCAATCAGTTACTACGGCTTTTTAGGTTTCAACGCCGGGTGTTTGGCGATCTTTGGCCTTCGCTTATCGACATTCGAATGTCTTTATGACCAAGCATGTTTGAATACACTCACGGCATTGCTCGGTTATTCAAGTCCTATTATTGCACTCAATTCATCTGACAACATTCGATATCCACCAAGCACAACATTAATCGGCTCGATAATTGACGATCTTTTTATCGAAATGTGGTCTAATTCGTCGAATTATTCGAGCTACTTTCATGAGTGCGCTCCTGCAACATGTCAATATTCTTACGTCGAAAGAAACAATATTATTTACATGCTGACAACTCTGTTAGGGCTCTATGGTGGACTCACAATTGCCCTACGATTGATTGTTTGGCATGGGCTAGCTGTGATATTTTGGCTTCTCGCTCGATGTCGTCAATCGGTACAAGTGATCCCAAGCGGTACCATTGAATGAGACTTTATTAGCGACCATTTAAACCATTCCTATATGCTTTATTTAGCATCGCTCACTTTTATTTTTTTTTACATGTTGTCATTACAGCACTGCTCCTTCAATGTCGCTTTCTAATACAGCACATAAAATAAATATATTCGCTGATGAACAATCACTGTCGGCGATGTTGCCATCCAAGCGTTCAGTGACTTGCCAATTCAGTAACACTACAGTGTGCTCGTTTCATTGAAGGATTGATACTATGAAGGGTCTTAAGTTTCTCATACATTATGTTCTGAAAAACAATCTTGGATGATGCGATTGTTCTAGTTTTTGTCGAGGAGCAGTTCAATTCGACGAGCAAAAAACATCGAATCTCACAAATGAGAACTTCTCCATTGCACAGTTTTCCGCCAATCTACCAAAAGTCGTGAAGATGTTTCAATACATGGCTACATGCGAGCGATAAAGCAATACAATTAATACATAGTGCCATTATCTCCATTGATTTTCAGTTCGAACTAGATAAATGATTGAAGTGAATCGATTTTCTTAATTTCGATTCTGATCAGTTTAATTCAGTTCAGTTTTTATTCCTCATGATAGTGTGCAAATTAGGCAGCTATCATTCATCGTTTCGTCGTAGTCCAGTATAGACGCAGTTTTTCTTTCTTTTCTGTCCGGAATATACGTCTTCTTTTATACTGCGAGGCAGTAACTCATCCTTATTTTCATAAGGATGATGAGTAACAGAGGCAACAAGCCTCATCAAATTAGTATTATGATTAGCGATCAGGAAGAAAATTCTGATTCAAGAATCGATTCTTCAACAGCACATCGACAACAATGAAAACAGAATATATCAAAAAGAACAAAGAAAGGCGGTGACTCATTCGAACTCGAACATCGTTTGGTTAACGCGCGTATCAAATACTTTAACAATAGTGATTCTCGTCAAGAGTCAAGCACAACCACATCTGACTTCATTATGAATGTCACGAACTTAAAATCTCCTGGTCCGACCTTCCCACGATTTCGGGGGTGTGGGTATGGGTGTGCATAAGTAACCCAATAACAGGTATCGTGATGTTGCTAAAATCTTATTTGCTGCTACAAGAGGGTGTCGATGTAGGTGTTAGAGAAGAGAGAACTCGCAGTTGACACCTATACAAACATCCGTAGTTCCGAACCAGTGGCTACCATTACATCTACACGCATCATCAATGTTTGATATCGAAAGGTTCTTGTGAACGATGACTTGAACATCATGAACATTCATAGTCGAGTTGATGTGGGTGTAGCTAAAATGGAAGCGACATCTTAAATCGATACGCGTATACCCTTAGCTTCCTTGTAAATTTTATTTGAAACTGAACATTGAAGTATTCTTATGCTACCTTTGTTAACGTCAGTATCAGATAAATGTCCAGTAAAACACACTTTTTCGTCATCGACGAAAATTAGACATTATAAGTTGTAGCATATGAAATTGTAATATTTTTAACACTTATTCGTAATTTTTTTTCTCGATCAATATCATATATTGTTTCTGAATGGATTTGATCATCATTAGAAAAAAAAACCACATGAAATTGGTTTATCTGTAAGCTTAACATACACTCAAAGCTTACTGCTTGATTTTCAAGAATAGTACTATATTGTAATGTTTCAAAAAATTTAACTTGAAGATCACGAACAATTAAATGAGCAGCGATACGAATTTGATCTATAAAAGTGTCTTTGGTTGAATCAGTTAAACTACCATTGATCATTCTCAGCAATTTAAATACCAACACGATACTATTGCATTGATAGTTAGGTTTTTGTATAGGTCAAGCAAGTTTTCGATATTTCATATTGAAATGTAATCGTTTCTCCTTTCATTATTTGAATATCTTTGAGTAATCAAGTCAATGTGACAATAATTTTATTCGAATTCTATCAAACAAAGGGTATGGATAAGAACAAAGATATTGATTTCAATCAAACCTACAGGCAATTACACTCTCATTACTGAAGAAGATCAAGATTCAAATGAAAACTTTGTTTGAAAATTTTATTTGCCTTTTGTTTTGTAAATATTATTCATAAACTCCTGTTCAGAATGTAAAACAACGCTGTTGAAACAAACTTTAAATAATTCGCATTGAAAATAAGAAACTCTGATAACTTGTTAAATTAAAAAAGCAATCATGTTCTCAAAGATAATCAATAAATATCTTCAAAATCTAAATAAACCGTCTGATGAAAAATTTATTGATGTTAAGTTAAGTTAGTCCAACCCTATGTGTCAATCTGCAATGACTTTCTGATTGAAATTTAAACAACAATAGATCTGGATTAAGTCATGGAATCAATGTTGTCTATGATCGAATATTTTGAAAAACTAATACTGTCATTAATTTAAAAAATAGAGTTTCTTATTTTCAATNAAAGTTCGTAGCTCTGCCGTTTCTATTGTTTTAATAAACATGCCATGAAACATTTTTCATATGAATAAAATAAATCAAACGTTCTTCGACAGAATTACTCGAAAATTACCTTGATTGGTTCGTTTCTGTTTGAACACTATTCACTTTATAAATAGTTCTATGAAATTAAGGTTAAAACACCAGTCGATGCAGCAGCAGTATTCAGATTCCAAGTCGAACACTTTCCCGTTGTAAGACGAGGTATTTTATTAAATATTGTGCAGTGTTTGCACTTTTATTGTTTGTTTAACACACACTATGAACCATCATGGAACAAGATTTAGACCATGACTTTAGGTTTTATCTTTCGTAAATGCAGCCACGTCTAATGTGGCAAAGAAGTTATCAACGGTTACTTTTAGACACATTCAGGTGTTGTCTCTCAGCGAAGTACTGTTTCATTTCATTGTTATCTATTCCACCCGGAGAAAATGTTTAAAATTGATAATCGGTAATTGATAATGAGAAAGTTCGTAGCTCTGCCGTTTCTATTGTTTTAATAAACATGCCATGAAACATTTTTCATATGAATAAAATAAATCAAACGTTCTTCGACAGAATTACTCGAAAATTACCTTGATTGGTTCGTTTCTGTTTGAACACTATTCACTTTATAAATAGTTCTATGAAATTAAGGTTAAAACACCTAAAAAGAACTGTCGTCATACTTATTAAGAAAATAGTGACTGAAAACGGAGAAACACCAACCGAAATTTTGTATGATAGCTAACCAATAGAGAATTCGAGGGGCTACTTTTTGGCCACTTGCTTCAAACATAGCACGAACGTTGAAAATTATACTGATGAAATATACTTGTTTTCAGTTACACTTTTGAAATTTGAGAATGTGGGGATGTCAGTTCTGTTTTCACTGGTCCATACCCATCCACCAATTTTATAGAGTTTGAAAGATTTCTTTTGGAACTACTCAGTATTCCAGTCGTGACAAGACAATGCGAAAGTTTCCATCCTAAATATCATTGATTGACTAAATTGTATCACAACATGAAGATTCATGTTCCTTACATTCTATAGGTAGCTGAGTCATTTGCTTCGCTGTTCGGCCTTGTCTACAACACAATTCGCTTAAATCAGTTTCTTCTGGCTGTATCAACCAATTCAATACCAAGAACACAGATAATCAATGGCTCGTGGATGCTCCGTTTCCAGTCGAGAGTGTATACAAATGGTAATAATAGTTGTTCATGTGGCACATCAAGTCTGTGTGTTAAGCCTCAAGGATTCTACTGCTCTGGGACTGGTTGCCGTAATACTAATTCATTTTCGAACCTTACAATTTCTGGCCTTAACAGTGGCTGCTTTCCCATTGATTCAGTTCTTTTGTCAACACTTGAATGCCTCTTTAATCAATCGTGTATTCAAATGTTGATCGATTGGCGTCTGTTCGATGTGACTCCTTATTATTTTGCAGTCAACTTGACGAATATTACTGCACTCGATTTATCCATAAAAAGTCGATATTTTCCGAATACATCACTCGAAACCATCATTTCAAAACTTTTTGTCGAAGATTGGATAGAGACTGTCGACCATGCTGCTTATTATGCTCAGTGTCATCCAAAATCTTGCGTATACACATTTATAGTGGAACATGGACTTATCATCATCGTGACAAATGTCATTGGTCTATTAGGTGGACTTACAGTTATTCTTCGCATACTTGTTCCACCGTCTGTCAATATTTGTCAACGAATATATCACAATTGTCACGCTCGTTGGGAACGAAAAAAAGGTGAGAATCGAATAATTTGAAAGGTAAGAAAATATGTTTTGCAATTACAGATATTACAAATTATCGCTTGTTTTGCCGCTTTATTTTACGCACTCTACAAATTCTTAAGACTCTGAATGTCTATTAGACCGAGTCTCCCATTGGTTACCAATTATTAGCCAGTCGAATCTATGTTGTTCTACTGATGATTACAATAGCAGTTATATCACTCTTCGTCGGACTAAGTCAACAGACATATTCCTTTAGTGTTGACTCGCCTAGTGAAGCTGAATTCGAACATCTTCATTCTCAACATCAAACTTCATTAAAATGTTCTTGTTCACAGATTGCTATTACTTATGAAAAATTTCTCGACGTCTCGCCTGTGATGCATCACATATGTTCCAGTCAGTTTGTTTCATCCGATTGGTCAATAGTTTTATTCAACATGGGTTCTACTTGGTCATTGCCTGATTGGTTACTACTTAGCACTCAGTTTCGTATACTATCATCATTGTGTAAGCTTGCCAAGGATGCCATTGATCAGTCAATCCATAATTTTATTTCAAGCCAATTGGTCAATTCCGAAATCCTTCCATTCAGTTTATTTCAAGCACAAGTCGATTTGTCTTTAGTGCTTATAATGGAGCAAACTCTAGTCAGATTTCGTCGCATGCTTTCCTTCATTACAGGTGCACATCAATCAAACCAACTCCAAGATCAATTCATGTCAAGTGGGAAAATGATTTATTCGACTTCAGCTGAATATTATATATTTCGCACTGTTCCATTTTCATACAACAATAATACATGCACATCTGCTGCAGGCATGTCAACATGTTCCAGACCACTCATCTTTTTGGATTCGATCAACAATACAATCACTTTTCCAGGTAATTGTAGTAAGTTTAATTTCTTTTTCAAACAATTACTACGACTTTTCAGGTTTCAATGCCGGGTGTTTGCCGATCTTAGGCCTACGCTTATCGACATTCGAATGTCTTTATGACCAAGTATGTTTGAATACACTCACAGCATTGCTCGGTTATTCAAGTCCCATTGTTGCACTCAACTCATCTGACACCCTGCAATATCCACCAAGTACAACATTAATCGGCTCGATAATTGACAATCTTTTTATCGAAACGTGGTCTAATTCGTCGAATTATTCGAGCTACTTTTATGAGTGTGCTCCTACAACATGTCAATATTCTTACGTCGAAAGAAACGATATTATTTACATCCTGACAACTCTGTTAGGTCTCTATGGGGGACTCACAATTGCCCTACGACTGATTGTTTGGCATGGGCTAGGTATGATATTTTGGCTTCTCACTCGATGTCATCAATCGATACAAGTGACACCAAGCGCTTCTATTGAATGAGACTTTATTCGCAATCATTTAAACCATTCCTATATGCTTTATGTAACATTGCTCACTTTTCTTTTGTTTTACATGTTGTCATTACAACACTACTACTGTAGCATTGCTTTCTAATATAGCAACTAAGGGTGTGGGTGTGGATGTGGAAGGACAAGAATACAACCACACCCACACCATATGTTTACTGATAATGCTTGAACTATTTCTTGTATTAGTGTTCGAAATGAAAAGATTTAATAAACATGCAAAAATGGTTATTTCAAAAACAGAGGATTTGAATATCGATACAGCATAGGTAACACGTTGTATTCATGCAGTTCGACCCTGTTGGTTTTGAAGATAAGTAAGAGCATTTGTAAATTGATTAACGAGAGCTGCGTCATTCAGATCCATTTCTCGTTCGCCCATCTGCTCTGAAAATGGTCCTATGACAGTTCGGTTAAAATGTTCTTTAAGTAGCTTCACAATTTCAGGACTTTTAGTTTGATTTTTAATATGACTTATTTCGTCGACCGATTCGCCCATCGCTTGTTTCAATAGAAAATTACCATCCCTACAACTTCGCTCAACTGCACTTTTTAAATCAGATGCTCGTCTCTGAGTGTCTTCGAACTTCATCTGCAAAGCTTGACAACAATGTTGAAGTGTTAAGTAGCCTGTAGTCAAACTTTCACAAGCTTCTTGGAATCGTTTTTCACGTTCAACTGCTGGACACAATATTCTACAAATATTATCATCCAATTGATGTTTTTTCCTTTCGAATGTATTCCATCTGTTAGAAGATTGTAGAATCTGTTGAATTACTTGAATTTTCTGTTCGTTTAAGCCGCCATTAATAGAATTGAGTTGATCTAAGACTGATTTGTATAGGTTATGAATAGTTTCTTGCTCACGATCGGCTACACGCTGAAGAGCACTTGGTAGAGCAACTTCTAGTAACTTTCCTACTGGTAGACTACCGACTTGTCTATTCAATGTATTCAAAGCATTCGAAAGAACAGCTTTACCATCACCATTAAACATGTTTTCTACCATAGGCATTTGCCGATGAACAAGTTGAAATATCTCTTTTTCTTTACCGCTGAACAATGAGTTCGCATTGAACATTCCTAATAGTTGATTAATACTGCCTGACATGTTTTTACTGAATAATTGATCCAAATCTCCATTAAGAAATCTTTCCATATTTTTAATATTTTCTGGAAGCATTTTTACAAAGTTCAGCGAATTTTCATCGATATCTGCGATGGCCATTCCTGTGAGAGCTATTTGTTTGACGATTTCTACCGAGTTATTTTGTGAAGCCAATGCACGCAGAGTATCAATAGATACACTACCAAACGTATTTTGTTTTAATAATTCATTTAGATCACCATCGATCAATGCTTGAGCACCTTTGATTTTTTCAGGTATTCTTTTCACGAATTCTACTTGTTTCTGATCGACACCAGCCAACGTCATGCCCTCTAGAGCAAGTTGTGTTACTGTTTCTGGAGAAAAGCCTTGCTTGACAATCTGTTTAACAGTATTGAGTGGAAGACCNCTCGATTAATTATTTTACAAAGATAAACCAATCAATTATCCTTACAAGTCATACTGATAATTTAAAAAACATAATCTTCCAATGTCAACAGTGATTTGGAAGCTAAACACAATCTTGAAGCATTTTTATTAAACAGATAAAGACCATTTAGTTAACAGAATAGCTTTAACTCATTTATAGAAACTCAATAAATTGATAGCGTAAATAATTTAAGGGCACAATGATAAACTCATCCTTTAAAATAGGAAAAGAACGCTAGATGAAGAGTCAACAAGATACAAAGACTACTACTCTAAATAAAAAGATAAGCGGTTTTAATAAACTCTAAATGTTTTGATTGTTAGTAATCTATTGTTAGCTGCTAATCGAAATCATGTTTTCACAAGTTATTTTTGGAATCAGTTCATATAATATAGATGTATGTCTACGATTAAACTCTTAAAAGTTTAGCTTTTATTAACCATGAAAAAAAAACTCGAAAATTTTTCTTTCAATCATTATATAATTATTAATAACATGATATAATATATGTTTCTAATTTTTGTACAAATCTAGTAAACATTTGCATGTTTTCAAAATCCATGAATTTTTGTTTTTGAAAAATAATCTATTACTCTTCAAAACCAGTATCATATATTTATTTAATTTACAACTTTATTTCAATTGAAAATTCAAATTTCAATTGTGATCTTTAAAAATATAAGAAGCATTGTACTAAATGTGAGGTGCTGCTCGTATCAAAGTTATGCGAAAAGGGGCAGTTTTACTGTTAAAAATCAAACGATACATCTAAGAATTATAAAATCTGAAATATAGTTTGGCACTTTAAATTATCAAAACATGAAATCTCATTTAGATTCAAACTTCAATTTTGCATTACTGGATGATTTTCGATGTTTGCATTTGAGTAATATTCATCCTTCCAATCATTTAAGTAGTACGATGAGGTTTTTTTCTTTCGTCCTTTTCATATTTTTCTTTTCTCTCATGTTGACGATGTAATAGCCTTGATGAGACTGGTTTACACATATTGTCTTTATTCTTGCTTATAACTTGACTCACGTTGAAAAAAACCATCGGCGATCAAATTTCATACTCCATTCGAAAAATTTAAGTAAGCTTGTCCTAATTACTAGATATTTGTCCGAATATTAGATAGAAATGGTTGACTATTTCTCTTGTTCATTGTCGCAGTGTTTATGACGATTAAATTCGATCTTTGAAAGAAAGAAACTATTAAAACATGTCTATATTATTATTTTTAGTAGTTTCAACTCATTATATTATGATTAGTTAAATAGAGAAATTCACGATACATTTTTTTAAGTAACTAGAAATTATATTAAAATAATTGAGTTTCTGTTAGACTTTTTTTATTCATAGTCTTTTTTGATGATGTATTTTGCGACACATGTAAAACATTAGTTACAAAGAGATGATGAGTCTTTGTACAGATAAATAGACAGCGTCATTATTCTTTTTCCTTTCCTTTTGTTTCTCACTTTTCCATTTCGTTGTTTCTTATTCATTTACTTAACTTGAAGTTTATTATTTCTAAGTTAAAAGGTGAAGGCACACACACACATATATATATGTATTACTAACTCATTCATGAAATGTATTTTGCAGAATGTGCATTTTTCTTTAAAATCAAAATTTTTACACATTTGAATAATTTTTGAAAATAGATTTATAAAAATCATTGAAACAGATTTGAAATGATCAACGATGGTCCAATACATCGTAAATATAAGTATTACTATGCAAAAATGAATCTTTATCCTTCATTCGTTGTGGATAATCTAATCTTCTGAATCAATAGGAGATTTTTTTCCTCAGATTGACACTATCTTATTTAGATCGTTAAAATAAACGATAAGTATTACTTTTTCCTTTTTTTCGTTTGTGAATGGAAGAAATAAGTAATTTTTCCTCTTATGTATGAAACCAATATATTGATGCAGTAACAAAAGATAGTAATAATACAACTGTATGCTTGTCTTAATTTCGAATAGTGCTTATAGGTCAAATAATCTAGAACATTAATTTATGAGGCCCAATATTCTCTAACCGATCCGAAAAAATTTGCCTAAATCATAAGTTTTGGTAAGCGTTCATGATATACTTGTAATATGATTGATTAAGCTAATGAATGAGCCTTATTCTCAATCGTTTGTTGGCCTTCAACAAGCATAAATAAGGGGCCATGTTATATAACTTGTTGCCGTGTGGATGATTTACTGTTCACAGATTTACTGTCCGTTGATTAAAGTGAGAGAGAGAAATAAAAAGGTTAATGTGCTTAACGAGAATCAATATTGATCAGAACGAAAAAAAAGAAAATGTTCCAAACGAAAGAAACAATCATTAATAACCGAAGAATGCATTATATGGGTACGTGGATATGATCCTATTGATTTTACAGCATTCTTGAAAACTGTTGGACTTCGATATTTATCGAAAAAATAAATAGTCTTGTCTTTTTTTATGTTATTTATTCATATATTTATTGTTTATTGTTTATTTTCCTGATCAACATTAGTTCTCATTACGCATGTTCACTTTTTTTACTTCACTCTCTCATTTTAATCAACGGAAGGTAAATCTTAACACATAAAAAACACTAATGGGAATAACTTTTTTTTCAATCAATAGACAGTACATCCTCAACATGATGTGGGTGTGTGTGAATATTTCTCTTTGGCTTTGGGCTCATAACCACATTCACATCCACACTCACGCACCCACAGCCAATCACACCCATATTTCATGCCCACCCACATCCACACCCCTGTTTCTCTTAATTGCTTTATGAATGTGAAAGCAAATTTAGGTATTGATGATGTAATAGTGTTTCTCCCACAGGTGATAATGCGCTTTGGACTATTTTGTTTATGAATTTTAGGTTGTCCTCGTACTGTTGGTAGATCATCGACTGAAGTTAATTCATATTTAGTTGCCTGATTTATTTTATTAGATTGGAATAATTTATCGGGTAATTCTGCGATTTTCTGTTTTATTTTTCTTATTGGATCTCGAACTGTTTCACATATATTAGAATCATTAAGTTTTTCCTCTATCTTTTTGATATAATCGTTACGGCTCATAATTACTGTTTTTCCACCTTTGCCTGCTGGGACTATGATAATATTTTCCGTATTTTTCAGTTCTCGTAAGGTTCTTCTTTCATGTATTGTGATGTTATCATGTTTTCTATTTTTCCATTTTAGTATAAAAGTGGATACTTCTGAGATGGGAGGTTGTTTTATGTTTGGTGGAACTGAACTCAAGAATTTTTCTGTATTGGTTATGGTTTCAATAATATCGATTGATTTTGGTGTAATAACAAATTTTAAACCTTTCTCTAATACTTATTTTTGAATGTCACTTAATTGTATATTTGACATATTAGCTATATTCGATATGTTCTTAGTTTTTCCTAGTCTTTTCTTGACATGTTTTTGGTTTAGTAATTTTTATATCTTTTTCCTATGATTAATTCTAATTTTATCTTTGATGACAATATCATTTTTATTGATACAAGCTAGATTGTGTTGGTGGTTTCTATCTTGGTTGTGTCTCATCACGTATGTTTGTAATATCTTCTCTTGCGGCGTTGCTGTATCTATCAGATTTAATTTCAAATTCTTACGTTGTGATTCAAGGATATTATTTCTTATTTTTATCATTGTGTCATTAAGAAGTCGTTGGTTTTTGTTTACTAATGTCATATTTTTCAAATACATACCTTGTGGAATAAGATTCAATTTCTTACATTCTTTCAGGAATTGAATGTGTTGTTCTATTCTTATTCTTTTCTGATGTAATTGTTCTAATTTTCAAGCAATTGCTATGATTCTCTCTCTATTGAGGTTATTAAATTGTATTTTGTTGAGGAAGGACATAGAATGTTGGATTATTTTCGAACTCATCTTTTAAAAATTATATTTTAAATATATCGTTTCGGTAGGTCGAGGTCTCATTCGTCAGATTTGTTTTATTGATGGAATGAAACTAGAATATGCACACACTTATGTCTATATTCCTTTTTTTGCTTCTAGTCTTTTCTTTCTTTTTCTTTTGTTATTGAGAGCGGGTCGGAAGGAGATGATAATAAGAAATCACTTCTACTAGCTATTGCCGTCTTGCCGATTCGCTATCAATAACAAAAGAAAAAGAAAGAAAAGACTAGAAGAAAAAAAAGGAATATAAACATAAGTGTTTGCATATTCTAGTTTCATTCCATCAATAAAACAAAACTGACGAAGGAGACCTCGACCTACCGAAACGATATAATTAAAATATAATTTTTAAAAGATGAGTTCTTAAATAACCCAACATTCTATGTCCTTCCTCAACAAAATACAATTGATCATATTGGATTGTTGAGTAATTTTATTTTTCATACACTTTATTTTCTGTTAGATAATTGTTATTTCGAGATATTTTACGTCATTTTTATAGTCGACAATGAAACAAAGCAATTGAAAGGGAAATAAAAAGAAGTTTTTCAAGTATCTAACTTACCAATATAATGACTAGATTTCTTATGTCTGTTCTCTCATCAATCTTGTATTCCAATACATTTCTCAAGACATAGAAAAAAGTATCAAAGAAAATGATAAAAGCACTGACCAATCATTCTCGAAGCTTCGTTCCTTTGAGCAGAATAACGAAATCTATTGCAGGTCAACAAGAGATTTCGAGAATTGAGCAACAGAATCTATTAGTGAAAATTTCTTTATTACAAAAATAACTCGCACAATCTGTTAATCATATATGGATTCAAAGTTAAAATTACTAATATTTGAAAGGTTATTTTAGAGTGATAAAAAATGGATCTATTTCAACTGATATTGGGACAGGAGTATTAATATTTAAACCGTATATGAAATTGGTTTTTTCGTTCCAGATAGAATTATGAAGAAGCCAAAGCTCTTCCAACTTGTTCAGCAAGACCAATAACATATTCTTCTTGCAATCGCCGTCCAATAATCTGTACGGCTACTGGCGCACCATGGTAGACATCAGCCTGATACTCATCATGCACTTGCATGTCCAAATCACTGATGGGTTTATAATTCAAGTCCTTAATATCTGTCTCTTTTTGAGCAAACGTCACTGGAACGACGACAGCTGGATAATCGAGCAGACTAATTACAGATGCATAACCATTATATTTGTACTGATCGTGTCTAATGGCGGCATGAGGAGCTTCGGGTTGTATCCAAGCATTAATTTCATTTCTTTCCATCCAGATTGCCATGTATTCTTGTTGATATTTGTACTTCTTTATTTGAATATCCCACATAGTATTAAGATCAATTTTCTCGTTTGCTCCAGGACCATAATCATGGGCAACTTCTGATATGGCTGGTTCACCGCTTAATGTCAGAGCATTTCGAATGTCCTCACCACCATCTGCTCTATAAATCTTACGGACCAGGTCAACGGCATATTTATGCTTGTAAGGTTGCCACTCGACAACAGTATGACCAGCTCTTCGAAGAGCGTTAACGACCATCTGAATACCACGAAGAATAGGTGGATGAGGCATCACCACTCCGTCGAAGCCCATAACACTACAAATTAAATCATGTATTCAGAATTATTATAGAGTAAAGTCTTATGAAAATTTGTTAACAGTGAAATATAAATCTATAATGAAAGATCATGTCATACCACCAGATCGAAAATTTCTTTCGATGTTTTAATATTTTTCAAGAATTATTCGAATTCTCAATCTTTTAATAACTACTCGATTTCTTTATATTGTTACTTACAAATCGGATTTATTCTTCGACAGAATAATAATGAAAAGTGTGAAGAAACGGATAGGATAATATTTCAAAATTAACTTACCCATTAACAGTCGTTATCCCAAATATCTTTTTTCCTGTTCTGCCTTCATTGTATTTCTCCTCTCTCCATGGAATCTCAATTACTTTCGGATCATAATGCCATGGTTCTTGTTCTAATATAGCTTTCATAAAGTAAGCCAAATCTTCTGCTCTATGAGCAATGGGTCCACAAACACAATGTACTGTTTCTTGTCCGTCCATACTACTCCTTATTCCAGCAAAGGGCATTCGTCCATGGCTTGGTCGAATACCCCACAGGCCATTGAATGCAGCTGGTGTACGAATCGAACCACCTATGTCGGTGCCAATACCTATCGAACTACCATGAAGAGCAATTAGAGCGGCCTCTCCACCACTTGAACCACCGCAGGAAAGAAGTCGATTGTATGGATTCAATGTGCGACCAATGATGTTATTCATCGTTTCGCAGCACATTACACTTTGCGGCACGCTTGTTTTCACGTAAAGGACAGCACCTATTGATAGAAAACAAGATTCTTTTCCTAAGATTAATCGGTTTTAAAAAATAAAAAAAGTCAGACATAAATCTTGTATTACTTAGCAATTGATTCGTATGCATACTACTTCGGTCAAAATAGGAGAAAAACTGCAGTACTGTTCCAATAGTTTTAGAATTAAAACAAAGCAAACGAAAGTGTGAAGTGATGCGACATGGAAGAGTGCAACTTCGTTTTGGTTATACTGTATTAAAAATCTATTCCAAAAAGGTTTTTCATCAGTTTTTGGGAAAAATTCAAACTATTTTCGGCTTGATTAGAGATAACAGAATCATTCTTATAAGAAGAATAAATGTGGAAACCTCGGATTTAAATCCCAATGTTATGTGCACTTCAAAAAATAAAAATACTTTAGAACCGATCGATTTCGATAAAATTGTGTAAGAACAAGCGAGAGAGAGCAGAAGGAGGTTGAGAGAAGTCAACTGCTTTCTTGAATCATGATTTTCTCCAGTATAGCAACGATAGAACACAAGATTGCTCGGAGCGGATTATAGAACATTCTCGAAAACCACTAAAACACGCAGACAACACTATGCTTCATTCTTACAATAGTAGAGAAAATCATGACCCAACAACCCAATTTTTTCTCCTCTCAGACCTCCTCTATATCTCATTCTCCCGTGTGGTTAGAGAAGAGCATTAGGTTATTTGGAGTGAATTATACGGCACTTTCGAAAACCTTGGATCGGTACGGACAACCCTACGTTTGACCCTTATAATAGTAAGAAAAGGTTTTTATGAAAATCGGTGTACGTGAATTTTTGAATAAAAAGGGACAGGAATATGACATTTTTTGCTATAACTCAACAATAGATTGACGAATGATTCTCATCTTCGAACTCGACCGAGATATTCATGAGATAATTCTGTGTACAAAATTTCATCACAATCGGATGAGTCATTGAAGAGTTATCGTGTAAACGGCTGGACGGACACACTCACCCATTCTATAGTGTACTCACTTTTTGAGTACACAAAAAGAAAATAAATACCTGCTTTTCTTAGTAATGTAGTCATAACACTCTCTTCTTCATCAATGTTCCCCAACCAGGCCACATAACCCATACTACATTCAACACCTTTGACACGAAATTGATCCTTCAGTGAAATTGGCACACCATGAAGAGGACCGACAGTCTTTCCCTCTTTAAAAAGATAATCATCAAGTTCTATCGCTCGTTCTACTGCCGCATCGAAAAAAATCTCTACGAGACAATTGACTAATTGATGAGCGATAGCTGCTCGATGACAGAAGGCTTCACAGACTTGAACAGCTGAATATTTGCGAGAGGCAATTTTTTCCACCAATTCTTTTACTGTTAGTTGTGTAATAGTCAATTCTTCGTCAGACAACAAACTACTTGTCTCAGGATAGGAAATCACTGAGTGTTGAGAGTCGGCAGGTAATATGTCGGCTGGAATTCGCCATTTTTCTGGTATTAATTCGGCCAAGGCTTTGCGTTTCTTCGCCACTAATTCTTCCCAACCCATTCTTGAATATTAAAGCCAGCAATTCAATAGAATACTATACTTTTATCTATCAACACATGTGAAATAAAACAACAAATTGTGTGTGATAAGATAATATCTATTCATTTTCAATGTATGAATTACGGAAAACTTTATATATATATAAGAGGAAGGGTAAGCAGTTTTTAAAGTGCTAAGTTTCGGCTTCTGCCAAAAACTCCTTCTATAGACACTTACCGTATGTGAAGCGAAATTTAATCAGAACCTTCATTGTTGCACGAGAAAAGAAAAATAATAAATGAGAGTCATTCACGCTCGATAGATAAGAAGAGTTTCTGTGATATCACGGCATGCTCTTTGCTCATCAAAGGACTGATAAACACAGGTAAGCTATAAGAAACTAATGCGCAGATTCTGAGGGTGTGGGTGTGGGTGTGGGTGTGGGTGTGGGTGTGGGGGTGGGGGGGTGTGGGGGTGGGGGGGGGGGGGGGGGGGGGTGGGGGTGTGGGTGTGGGTGTGGGTGGGGGTGTGGGTGTGGGTGTGGGTGTGGGTGTGGGTGTGGGTGTGGGTGTGGGNACAAACTAAAGTGAAAATGCACAGGAAAAACTCACCAGGTTTGATGATCAATTGAAAATTATTCAAAATACGGGATGTTGGTCGAGATGGATACGCAAATTTGACCTGATGAAACTCAATCTGACCTTTGACATCACTCTATTATCAGTACATTTTAACAATGAAATAAGAGTGATCTGTTCAAAAGTGAGACTTTTACTTAATGAATCACTTACCAATTGTTGACCATCCGTGGAACAATTGTCAATGACTGGTATTCGATCGAACAAATCGAAGAAACTTCGAGCTGCTGACAATGAATCACTCATATGTCGCATTCTGAACAAAAACACTTGAGAAAAAGAAATTGATTCGTGGAATGACTTACAAGAGCGTCATAAATCGTCGAGATTCTACGGAGAAATTATAGTAGGCCAACACACTAGAAAATTAATATAGATCAAATAGATTCTAAAGCTTTCTATCTGTACATAAAAATATTGTCCGTCTTTAACTTTTTGTGTTCAATAAGCATGAGAGTCTGCCAACAGAGAAAATACAGGAAAAAAGGTGATACTCCCCAAGCACCAACATGTAGTAACGAGGATATTATTATGCCATTTCGACGAATTCTATGAGAAAATACTAAAATAAAAATTAAGAAAAAAATCACTTGAAACACCGACTTGAACTCTTCCAAAACTAAATTTGAGAATTGTCGTACGAATTCTGTCTCACTTGCCAAGTGTTTCACTGTACGCATATTATGAATAACTTGAACAGCGAGCTATTAGTAAAATAAAACTTATTATCAATATTTCAATGTAAATGATATTGTAACTGAAATGTTGATCTCACCGAACTTGCTGATTCAAGAATACTATCAGAGCGTTTATTCAATCGTGCTTGCCAACGTATTTGCATGACAGCAAAAAAAAATAAGGAAACGATATAGAAGACTACGACTAAAGTTAACTGCCAATTGACCAAAACTCCGAGAACAACACCAATTCCAAAAGTCGCGATTGATTCACAAATGATGCCTAGATGAACACCAGACATCTGCTGAACATTCAACGCATCAGATGAGAGACGATTACAAATAGCCCCAGAACTGTTTTCAGGGCGATCAAAAAAAGCCACTTCTTGACGCAGAAGGTGTACAAAAGCTTTAGAACGAATACGCTCAGTCAATTTCGAGCCAGATACAGCAAACATAGTACACTATTGATGTAAAAAATATGAAACTCTTTATGAGATATACTCTTACCTGTATTAAACGAATGATCAAAAACGCTACACCCATCAGCAGGAAGAGAAGGGAAATTTTAAAAACTTGATGACGTCGTTCTTTGTAGACACACACTTCGAATGCCTGTGAGCAATCCCTTACGATAATATTGATCGTACTGTACGAGAAAGTGACTTACAGAGATTGTATAGGTGAGTAGAATGCTCTGGATTGATTGACTTGCTCCACAAATGAGGCAAGCCACGCAGCCGATTAGAATGATGATCCACTCTGGACTATTCAAATATAAAAGTCGCAAGAAAACAGGTCCACTATTTCTAGTCGATGGCTCCTATTAAAAGTACGCTGTAAACGTAAAAACCATCTCAATATAAGTACATTCATTTTTTTACTTTATCTCCGTCGTCAAGTTCACTATAGTTGCGATGTCGAGTGCGTCCCGCTAATTGAAAATAATTATCGCTTCTGAAGTATTCTTCGTCAAAACTATTTACGTACATATTTGTTTTTGATCAGTTTCTTCTATTTGTGTGATGCTCGTCCTCTCATCGATATCACTTTCTATTTTTTCTCTCCTTTGAAATTTTATCATCTCGCGATATTGACTTTCTTTCATTGACATCAAAGTATCGTGTGTACCATGTTCGATAACATGTCCATCGTGCAACACATAAATTCGATGTGCATTTCGAATTGTTTGCAAACGATGAGCGATCACAATAGTTGTCCGACCTATGTTTAACTATAGATGATAAAATGAAAACAGAAAGATATATGCGAACCTTTACAAGCTCGATCGAGCGCTTCTTGAACAATCTTTTCGTTGGCATTATCGAGTGCACTTGTCGCTTCGTCCAACAAAAGTACGACTGGTTGTTTGACAAGGGCACGAGCCAAAGCAATACGTTGTTTTTCACCACCACTCAATTGAACACCACGTTCACCGACGACTGTTTCATATTTCTACAAAAATAAGATAATAGAGAGCATCTCATTAGAAAAGAACATTCAATGCCCACATTGGGCAATTGCATAATAAAATCGTGTGAATTGGCTTGACGTGCTGCTTGTTCGATCTCGTTTCTTGTTGCATTTACTTTACCAAAGCGAATGTTTTCATAGATACTTGTGGCAAAGAGAATCTACATAGAATAATATTAGATGCAAAAGTTAGAATACAAGAAGATAAATGTACAGGTTCCTGACTGACCACACCGATCTTCTGTCGTAGTTCTTTAATATTGTAGTTGGTGATCGATCCATCACTAATTTTAATGTGACCCAATAACGGCTCATAGAAACGAAGTAGAAGTGAAATGCATGTGCTCTTACCTATTCGTTCAATACAGAAAATACTATCAATCTCCGATTTGTTTTTTTTTTCGAAATACCCACCAGAACCACTTGAACCAACTAAAGCTGTTGTCTCATTTGCACGAGCCGTCAGTGTGAGGTTTCGTAAAGCTAGTACATCAGGTCGAGTTGGATAAGCAAAGCTAATATTGTCAAAGTGAATATCGCCATTCATGTTTATAGCTTCTTTGCAGGTCACCGAATCTTCTAATATTTGTATCTCATTCATACTTGTCTTTTCTTCCTATATGAATGTAATGGAGAAGAGATTAGATCGTACATTAAACAAATCTTTACCTCATCGATCAACCGGAATACGGGTGTTAAAGCTCCTCGAGTTTCTTCGAGTGATTGAAAGAAAGGACCAACATTGGCAATAGAACCGATAGTTCTTGCCAACATAGTGGTTATCTACTCAAATATCGCGAACCTATTTGGCTCGGAAGCCTGATTTATAAACTAAATAATTTACCACAAGAATATCATTGAAATAGAGTTTATCAAGTTCTGTATGATGCATGAAAGACAAGCCGGAGGCGAAACCAATTGAATAAGCCATGTATCCTGTAAGAGAAATCCATCCAGAGAAGAGGCCAAACACAGCACCCTTGCGTATACTGCTCCAACTCGTTGCATGTAATTTGCTTTTATATCTATATACACAATAACATTTGAACATGATCATAGTTCATGGATTAAAAAGTTCGTTTATAGTTTTATATATTCTCTACCGTTTCTCTTCGAATCTTTCACCATTGAGCGAAAGCACAGTACGAAGAGAACTAAAGACTTCTTGAACGACTTCTCCTGCTTTTGAGTACGTATCCAATTCGTTTCTTGTTTCTTTGGTAGTAACCTATTAGAATTTATCTAAACTAAATTAATCATTGACAATTGCATCTACCTTTGAAAAAATATGTAAGCCGAATATAGCTAATGGCGCAACGCACAACATGACAAGTGTTAACTTCCAATTGATGATTAAGGCAACACAAGTACTGCAAATAGTGGAAAATAATGCTAACATCAGGATTGATAATTCAAAACCGAGGCCTTTATTCAAATAATCAATATTGCTATGAGATAAGGGAGTTATATATAGTTTTTATTTCAAATATTGACAGAAAATGACTTACTTGAATAGTTTGACACTGAACTGACCAACGGAATTCATATCAAAATAAGAAATATTCTAGGAATAAGAGAGAAAGTCAGAACGGTTCATATTTACAATAATAGACTGTCATGAAGTTGTAACAGGTGTGTCTGAATAAACAATTCCGTCAGTATATTTCTATATTTTCATCGACTATAATAGCACAGACTTGTCCTCTTTTCATAAAATATGTGCTATGCAATTCTCCACAAAATGATACATTTTATTCGATGAAGATAGTCTTCATTTTTCAAAGACCACAGAACTGCATGAAACTGATGAGTATTATTTTTGAAGCTTTTTTTTCTAACTTTTCTTTTATATTATTTTAAGTTCTATGATATTGATATTTATAGTGTGATGCTTTCACAGGTCGCAATAATTTGTTGAAAACCAAATAATTGTTTAAGACGCTAACTCTACGAAATTCATTGAAATTATGAACTCCGAAAGCATCTTGAAACAAATTACGACAGTGTTAGAATTAAAACGAGACAGGAAACAACTACGAAAAAAAATTGGTGAAAAATTGTACCTAATAGTTTCCTATATTTCTGTGAAGCTCGAAAGATGCAGGAGACTGCGTTTATCTAATAAAAATGCTTCTAGTTTGATTCCTATGGAATTAAAATATAGAAAGCAATCAAGACATCGTAACCATAATCGAGAAGTCTATCTGTACGTATTGACCTATTTTCGGCATAATGAACAACACCTCGAAAACTTCTTAAACCAGTCATCGACCGTGACAGCAGTACTGAATACTTCTAGCAATGTTTGTCAAGATTGATATGACAAGATGAGGAAAAGGGCACTTTTCTCACAATTTACTTCAATACTCATTCTCAGTCGTTTTTCACAGTATCATTTTCTAGAGAATTAAATAGTTCTTTTGTTACAAAAACTGCAAATCAGAACGATGATAACCAAAGGAGATATCAAGAAGATAGAGAGGAGACCATTTATTGTGCACTACCCGTTATATTTTCGTAAAGATGAATGTGCTTGACATACTCGTTGTAGCAATGATTGTAAAAGACGAATTTGTATTCGAGACGTCTGTCGTTTGGCCATCATGGTGAAGAGAAAATAACGAAAAAGCATGCACACTAAGTCAATTATACCGATGACTACGTACATTAAAGGTGCAAATCATTATTTGATTGATACTTGAAGAATTAGATTATTTTTGCTTACTTAATAGCCAACGCATTTTGTTTCTCACATCAGCATGAAGTTCGGTCGTAACCAATGGCAATAGTGGCGTCAAGGTGATACTTTTATTAAGGTAGACTCTAAAATGTATGAACAGTAAATAGATATAGAAACTAAAGCACATTAGTGTTTTACGTGATAACGACTCACTTTTGCAATCGATCCTTGTTGAAAGTATTGGTCGCAACACTCCATGAATTTTCTGTACTATTGTTAGTAGTAATCAATGTGTTCTGCTGTATTGAACATTGACCAATAAACGATTGTATTGCAAACTCACTCATAAGTTGACCAGAAATAACAAGAAATAGTGTGAAAGCAATACTTTGCAGTAAGATAATGCACAAAACGAAAGCTATTATCAGAAGATCAAGTCGATCAGCAAAACGAAACTACCATAAAGTCAAATAGATATTTCGTTGTTCGACATCTTTTCTTTCTCGATACACTTACTAATTCAAAGTATCCAACAATCGGTTCAGTTTTATTATGACTGCTATCATTATCCAACGCTTCATATTGTTGATCGAGTTGTTTCAAAGAGAAACGTTGAAGCCAATTGAACAATCTATATGAATATGACATCATCGATGATACATTTCTGGAATTCAATTTTATCTTACTTGTTCATGAATGGTTGTCCCCTATTTCTATTACTATCAGGAATAGAACGATTGTCTACACTTGATACAAGTGGCTGTGTATCAATCACGACGCGATTTATGACGTTGCACTATTGAAAGAAACTGAAACTGAAAATACCTATACAACATTGAATAATTTTTGTATGCGATTTATTTCACTTGGATGTTGGTGTGCGTGCAGACATGGGTATTACCTTCACTGAAGCAGCAGCTATCAGGACTTATTTTATCGGAATTTATTGGTACTTTTCAATAAGTCTCTAAGCACTTTGGGATAAATTCCAAATGATTTCTCAATATATACAATTTGTGGTTGAAAGTGTGAGTGTGAGTAATAGTAAGGGTGAGGATGAGGGTGTGAGTGTAGATGTGA